GTTTTAGAATTTAAAAACAAATAATTCTTTAAAAAAGGTTTTTAGAACATTTAATAAGTTCTTTCAGTGTTTTTGCACCATACCCCTTACGCTCCACTTTATCTCCTCTTTTTAAAGTAAAGTACAATTTATTAATTTTTTAAAAATCTATATATTTTGTAGAAGGACAAGGCCTGAACCTAAGTGCGCCTGAACCTAAGTGCATATGAAAATCTTTTCATGTAGAGAGTTACAATTGTTACAACGAATTTGTTCAAAAGGTCTTCAAAGCAAATTTTATATTATTCCAAATTATTTCAGTCATACTAAAACCCCAAATTCACCCCCCCCCCCCCCCCCCCATCACCCCAATGCGCCAATGGAAAAAAATACCTAGAATCATCAAATAATTACACATTTGCATTTTCAGGATGTTTTTTTAAATCTTTTTTTATATTTAGACGTTTTGTATTATATCTATGTATAAGTAAACCATCTTCAATGAATGAAAGTAGGCTACAAGTAAGAAAGAAATATTACTATTGTAAATCAGTAAATCTATATCAATCCTCACAAGGCGATGGTGAAAACCGTAATACTAAAGCGAACACGCAAGGCAAACTGACGTTGTAAATTACATGTCTGAGACGAAAAAAAAAGTAGGCAATGTTCAACCTTTATTTCGCGTGTCCTCTTTATCTTTACACAACACGGCCTCACTCCTAGCCGCTACCAACTAACTGCCCCCCCCCCCCTTACAGTCGCTCACTCCTAGCCGCTACCAACTAACTGCCCCCTTTACAGTCGCTCACTCCTAGCCGCTACCAACTAACTGCCCCCCCCCCCCCTTACAGCCGCTCACTCCTAGCCGCTACCAACTAACTGCCCCCCCCCCCTTACAGCCGCTCACTCCTAGCCGCTACCAACTAACTGCCCCCCCCCCCTTACAGTCGCTCACTCCTAGCCGCTACCAACTAACTGCCCCCCCCCCTTACAGCCGCTCACTCCTAGCCGCTACCAACTAACTGCCCCCCCCCCCTTACAGCCGCTCACTCCTAGCCGCTACCAACTAACTGCCCCCCCCCCTTACAGTCGCTCACTCCTAGCCGCTACCAACTAACTGCCCCCCTTACAGTCGCTCACTCCTAGCCGCTACCAACTAACTGCCCCCCTTACAGTCGCTCACTCCTAGCCGCTACCAACTAACTGCCCCCTTTACAGTCGCTCACTCCTAGCCGCTACCAACTAACTGCCCCCTTTACAGTCGCTCACTCCTAGCCGCTACCAACTAACTGCCCCCCTTACAGCCGCTCACTCCTAGCCGCTACCAACTAACTGCCCCCCTTACAGTCGCTCACTCCTAGCCGCTACCAACTAACTGCCCCCTTTACAGCCGCTCACTCCTAGCCGCTACCAACTAACTGCCCCCTTTACAGCCGCTCACTCCTAGCCGCTACCAACTAACTGCCCCCCCCCCTTACAGTCGCTCACTCCTAGCCGCTACCAACTAACTGCCCCCTTTACAGCCGCTCACTCCTAGCCGCTACCAACTAACTGCCCCCTTTAGAGTCGCTCACTCCTAGCCGCTACCAACTAACTGCGCCCTTTACAGTCGCTCACTCCTAGCCGCTACCAACTAACTGCCCCCCCCCTTACAGTCGCTCACTCCTAGCCGCTACCAACTAACTGCCCCCTTTACAGCCGCTCACTCCTAGCCGCTACCAACTAACTGCCCCCTTTACAGCCGCTCACTCCTAGCCGCTACCAACTAACTGCCCCCCTTACAGTCGCTCACTCCTAGCCGCTACCAACTAACTGCCCCCCCCCTTACAGTCGCTCACTCCTAGCCGCTACCAACTAACTGCCCCCCCCCCCCCTTACAGCCGCTCACTCCTGGCCGCTACCAACTAACTGCCCCCCCCCCCTTACAGCCGCTCACTCCTAGCCGCTACCAACTAACTGCCCTCCCCCCCCTTACAGCCGCTCACTCCTAGCCGCTACCAACTAACTGCCCCCCCCCCCCCTTACAGTCGCTCACCCCTAGCCGCTACCAACTAACTGCCCCCTTTACAGCCGCTCACTCCTAGCCGCTACCAACTAACTGCCCCCCTTACAGCCGCTCACTCCTAGCCGCTACCAACTAACTGCCCCCCTTACAGTCGCTCACTCCTAGCCGCTACCAACTAACTGCCCCCTTTACAGCCGCTCACTCCTAGCCGCTACCAACTAACTGCCCCCCTTACAGTCGCTCACTCCTAGCCGCTACCAACTAACTGCCCCCCCCCTTACAGTCGCTCACTCCTAGCCGCTACCAACTAACTGCCCCCCCCCCTTACAGCCGCTCACTCCTAGCCGCTACCAACTAACTGCCCCCCCCTTACAGCCGCTCACTCCTAGCCGCTACCAACTAACTGCCCCCCCCCCCTTACAGCCGCTCACTTCTAGCCGCTACCAACTAACTGCCCCCCCCCCCTTACAGTCGCTCACTCCTAGCCGCTACCAACTAACTGCCCCCTTTACAGCCGCTCACTCCTAGCCGCTACTAACTAACTGCCCCCCCCCTTACAGCCGCTCACTCCTAGCCGCTACCAACTAACTGCCCCCCCCCCTTACAGCCGCTCACTTCTAGCCGCTACCAACTAACTGCCCCCCCCCCCCCTTACAGTCGCTCACTCCTAGCCGCTACCAACTAACTGCCCCCTTTACAGCCGCTCACTCCTAGCCGCTACCAACTAACTGCCCCCTTTACAGCCGCTCACTCCTAGCCGCTACCAACTAACTGCCCCCCTTACAGTCGCTCACTCCTAGCCGCTACCAACTAACTGCCCCCTTTACAGCCGCTCACTCCTAGCCGCTACCAACTAACTGCCCCCCTTACAGTCGCTCACTCCTAGCCGCTACCAACTAACTGCCCCCCCCCCCCCTTACAGTCGCTCACTCCTAGCCGCTACCAACTAACTGCCCCCCCCTTACAGCCGCTCACTCCTAGCCGCTACCAACTAACTGCCCCCCCCCCCCTTACAGCCGCTCACTCCTAGCCGCTACCAACTAACTGCCCCCCCCCCCCCTTACAGCCGCTCACTTCTAGCCGCTACCAACTAACTGCCCCCCCCCCCTTACAGTCGCTCACTCCTAGCCGCTACCAACTAACTGCCCCCTTTACAGCCGCTCACTCCTAGCCGCTACCAACTAACTGCCCCCCCCCCTTACAGCCGCTCACTCCTAGCCGCTACCAACTAACTGCCCCCCCCCCCCTTACAGCCGCTCACTTCTAGCCGCTACCAACTAACTGCCCCCCCCCCTTACAGTCGCTCACTCCTAGCCGCTACCAACTAACTGCCCCCTTTACAGCCGCTCACTCCTAGCCGCTACCAACTAACTGCCCCCTTTACAGCCGCTCACTCCTAGCCGCTACCAACTAACTGCCCCCCTTACAGTCGCTCACTCCTAGCCGCTACCAACTAACTGCCCCCTTTACAGCCGCTCACTCCTAGCCGCTACCAACTAACTGCCCCCTTTACAGCCGCTCACTCCTAGCCGCTACCAACTAACTGCCCCCCTTACAGTCGCTCACTCCTAGCCGCTACCAACTAACTGCCCCCTTTACAGCCGCTCACTCCTAGCCGCTACCAACTAACTGCCCCCTTTACAGTCGCTCACAGTCACTCCAGCTTTTATACCCGGACTCTACCTTGGAATAACAATACCTAAACACCCCGTGGTTAACTCGCACACCTCTCCCCTACGTTATGGACTATTCTAGCCTATTCTAATGTAACCTACAACTGACCCGTAACAATCTTGTATACTAAAATGTATTAATCTTCCTTCTATGTCCATCTTAACAAGGCAATAAACAACACATTCGGTTGTTATACAAAAACAAAATGTATTATTGAATACATGACACGGTGGAGACAGTGTGGTTGAGTGGTAGAGACCACAGATGCTAACAGTAACACGATCCACCTTGTATTTACATGTCAGCTCATCCATAACACATTTATTTTGATTTTATATAGAAATTAAAAAAGGCTTCGATTTTTACATTACATTGATACATTTTTGCGAGTCCAATTCTGAAAAATCAATATCGTTATACAACTAAATCAATAATATTGATGTTATTTAACACATGTTGATTTCTCGAGGTGCTGTTGTGTTTTTGAATCTATTTTCTATGTTGTATAGGTAAGCAGTAATCTCTTATCGTACTGTAGCAACAATAAGATTATGCTTGATAAAAATTTGTGAGATGAATAATATTTTATTATTAACACGTTTTTCTTAACTCAGCTTCGCGTTTGTGGATGTGTTTGTTGTTAAAATTGACATCGAAAATTAGCCCACTTCTGATTGCTCTATAGATCTGAAATTTGGCATGCAGGTTACTTTCGCCTAACAATTTCAGATGCAATCATAAAAACTAGCAATTAGAGACCGTAATTAGCTTAATTTAATTACGCCCTAAGGACCATAAAATTGAGGACATGATTTCTAAAGATACCGACAAGACTGAAGACCTATTGACACAGTTACTTCGGCCCCAATCGATGTGAGCGCGCTGGCCGTGATCGTATAGTACTTCGCGTTGTGGCCGCGACAACCCAGGTTCGAATCCTGGTCGCTCAAGATTTTTAGTCCGTGTATTTATAAACACTTAGTCAAGTCATACTTAATCAAGTCATTGGATAAAGTAGAAAATAAACTATATAAAAAACTTTTTTTAAAAACCACGTTTCTCATGTGTAGCAACGGACTAAAAAGGAGAAAATAAAATACTTAAAAAAAACTTTTAAAAAAAAACCACGTTTTTCTTGTGGACTAAAAAGTAGAAAATATCTATTTACATACATTTGATGACAAAAAACGTGGGTCGGGCAGATGGGTCGGGAAATTTGATGGTGAACGTACCCACGTTTTTTGTCATCAAATGTATGTAAATAGTTATTTTCTACTTTTTAGTCCACAAGAAAAACGTGGTTTTTTTTTAAGGTTTTTTTTAAGTATTTTATTTATAGAGTTGCCAGGCATCACGGGAGATACATTGTATATATATTTAGGCCCATATAAGTTTCATAACAGTACATTTTTCACAATTAAGTGGAAATTTTATTTCCTTCTTTTTGCGTAGTTTGAAGAGGATGGAAGAATTTTCATAATTTAACGATGCATGGGACATAACCGTGAAATTTCAAAATGGTTCTAGATGCAAGGGACTTAATCGTTGAACTTTCGTATGATTAATATTGCAGGGGAGGTAACCCTAGACATAAAGCTACAAACTAAGTCCTATTCTTTAGTTACCATCACCAGAATATTAAAAGATATTGCTTCTATGGCGAAGAAGAAAATCCGTTGACAACTTTTTGTGATGATTAAATTAGATAGCTCGCCGTCTTAAACTTAAGCTCTAATTAATTTCTTCGTTTCCGCCTGAGTCTCAGCATCCTGTAAGCCGTAGACTTACGCCTGTTGGCCTGCTTCCACAGCTGCGGCAAGCCAACTGCAGCTGTCATCCTCTGGTCATCAGGGTTGGGATGTTCGCCACAGTCAGTCTTCTCCGCGTAGCTCGTCTCTCTCGGCAGAGGCGAATCGTCTTCTTCTAGAATGACTTTCGACAGACTAGCCGGCGGAGAGTATGGTACGCTATTCACACGACTGTTCTTTCTGTGGGTTGTGGTTTTTAAACTCGTCGTATCAGCCTGCCCATTGGTTAGTCCTACCACCCCATTCTGCTTGACCTGGGTGTTCGAACTTTCTATCACAGGTAACTGTACAACTTTTTCATTCACCGCCATACGGCTTCTGTTTATAATTTCGTTACGTTTGGAATGATTAAAATTTGTTTCGGTACTAAAATCACATGATTCATTCATATCCGACGTTATTTTAAATTCTAAGTTGCTGTCTTGGTCTGGCGTGTCTTTGTTTAAAACTTGAGGTTGTACTAAAGAAGCGTCAGACGGTGTATCTTCACTAGTTGCTAGAACCGTTTCTGCTGGTGTCATGACAGCTGACACGGCGGTGACAGAGTCCAGAGACACATCACTCCCTGGCGCTGTGCGACTGACCGCAACACTGCCGTGGGGGTCGCCGTGGACGTAATTCTGGAACTCTTCCAGGAACTGGTCCACGTCCAGGTCATCGCGACCTTTGAGGACGACCCGCGCCCTCTCGATCAGGGGCTTGCTGAAGGCGAGGAGATCCTGCTTGAACCTCTCGTGTTCCAGACGTCTCATCTCTTGTCGGAAACTTAGCCTGGAATACAGACATTAACGGCTTTACTGATTGGTGGCTTTAATGGTTATATTAAATATAGACATTAACGGCTTTACTGATTGGTGGCTTTAATGGTTATATTAAATATAGACATTAACGGCTTTACTGATTGGTGGCTTTAATGGTTATATTAAATATAGACATTAACGACTTTACTGATTGGTGGCTTTAATGGTTACAGTAAATATAGACATTAACGGCTTTACTGATTGGTGGCTTTAATGGTTACAGTAAATATAGACATTAACGGCTTTACTGATTGGTGGCTTTAATGGTTACAGTAAATATAGACATTAACGGCTTTACTTATTGGTGGCTTTAATGGTTACATTAAATACAGACATTAACGGCTATACTGATTGGTGGATTAAATATAGACATTAACGGCTTTACTGATTGGTGGCTTCAGGGGCGTAGCGAGGGGGGGGGGGCGGGGGGTGTGCGGACCGCACCGGGTGACACCATTTAGGGGGGGGGGGGGGTGACACCAAGGCAAAAAAAATAGCAAAATATATAGAGAAAAACTTGAGGGGTGCAAATCGAAAGTTTGAGGGGGGGGTGCAAATCGAAAACTTAAAAGTTTGTCCACGGGAAGGGTCGCTACGCCTCTGGGGGGTGACACCATTAAGTGCCGCACCGGGTGACACCCGACCTCGCTACGCCACTGGGTGGCTTTAATGGTTACATTAAATACAGACATTAACGGCTTTACTGATTGGTGGTTCTAATAAATGCATTAAATATAAACACTAGTTGGATAACTAAATACCTTAAATACAGTCATCAGTGGCTTGACTAATTAGTTCCTTTACTTGTTACATTAAATACATACATTAGTAGCTTTTACCTGTTTATTATTCAGCCAATAGTGTCTTTACTAGTTACATGAAATACAGATATTAATGATTCTACTAGTTGTATTAAATACAGACAATAGTGTGTGTCTTTAATAGTTACATTAAATATAGAAATTACGAAATGTAGTGTCTTTAAAAATTACATTAAATACAGGCATTAATGGCTTTATTGCAGACATCAAATACAAAACCTAATGATATATCCAAGACATTTGAAGGTTGACGTGACTCTAGATAAAAGGTGTTAAGCAATGGCAAGCCATAAACATCCACACTCAATTTTAGCACGTCTGACAACATAGCTGAACTAAACGTCTGACAACATAGCTGAGTTAAACGATTGACAACACAGCTAAGCTAAGGAGTGTTTTTAAAAAGTACATAAAAAGGTTAGAAAATATCACGAAGCAACTATGTTTTTAGATGTTGTGACTGGCCGATCGTAATTTTTTTTTAAACCATCAATAGAACAGGTCAAGAAGTAGTTAGCTATTTCCGAGATCTAGAAATAATTAGGCATAGCAGAGGCGTAGCGAAGGTGGGGCTTGGTGTGTGAGCCGCACCGGATGACACCATTTAGGGGGTGAAACCAAGGCAAAATAAAGCAAAATTTACAAGAGTAAAATGCTTTTTTGCCAGTTCGATTAATGAGTTAAATAGTCCGTTAAGTACAAATCAACAATTATTATAAGGGGGCAGTGGCGTAGCGAGGTCGGGTGTCACCCGGTGCGGCACTTAATGGTGTCACCCCCCAGAGGCGTAGCGACCCTTCCCGGGGACAAATTTTCAAATTATCGATTTGCACCCCCATCCCTCAAACTATAGATTTGCACCCCCCCCCCCCCCTCAAACTTTAGATTTGCACTCCCCCTCCTCAATTTTTTCTCTATATATTTTGCTATTTTTTTCCTTGGTGTCACCCCCCTAAATGGTGTCACCCGGTGCGGTCCGCCCCCCCCCCCGCCGCCCCCCCCCCCTCGCTACGCCTTTGCAAGGGGGTGGAGTGACACCATGACGTGAACGTGCTAACTATAGAGAAAACAATCCTACATCCAAGTATAATATTTACAACGTATAGATAAACATCGTTGCAATTACGTCTGCAGTTATTAAAGCTTATAAACATACATGTTTACGTATGTGGCATATATTTACATTATAGGCCTATGTAAGTCCACACACACACACATACACACACACATACCTTTTTCTTGAGGGGGGGGGGTGACACTACGAAGTGCCACACCGGGTGACACCCGACCAAGCGACGCCACTGAGGCATAGTGTGGTCATTTTTATTTTACTTTCCCTGATTGAGTCAGGTACCCATCTCAGCTGGTTGAACTCATGAATTCAAGCTCGAGATTCAAACATGGCACTTTCGCGTTATCAGTCGTGCTGTGTACTGCTCGACCACGCCAGCCCATATAGCACACTTAGAGTTTCAGTACTAAGAGAACAAACATACCTGGCCAGGGCTTTAACCGCGTGTTCACTGCGTTTGGTGAAGTCTGTTGCCTTGTGGAGATTCCTCTGTAGGTCTGTGTTGAGTGGCTTGACGTCTTCCTCCAGTTTCTCCAACTGCCTGGCTCGTTTCTTTCTTTGGCCTTTTGACCTGTGTGGGCAGATGTTTCAGAGACTGGGTTGGGGGATTATTAATTAATGATGTGCTGTACTAAAGAGTACACTCTCTGACTCGGCATAAGCTGAGGGTTTGTTTTTTTCTGCGCCTTTTTTTTTTTCTTTTTAGAAATATTATCCGATTGCAAAATGAAATATAAGCCAAAGCTTTTATTTTCTGACACTAAGAAGGAATTAAATAATCAAACACTTGGGGTAAACAGTGCTTGCTGTGATGCATTCTTGTTAATATGCATTCGTGTTCGAATGGCCTAAGGCAGAGCTATAGTTGTGGTCCATACTTAAGTAACGACGGGTAATATTGATGAAGCAATATTTTTTTTAAATCGTTGTCTAGTATATAGCCTACCTACCTGTGTATAGAGTGTAAGTCCTCCACAGGTCTTTGACCACGCCCCTCCATGATGGCTCTCTCCACCCTGGCCCGTTCGATGGCCAGACTTCTGTCCAGGTCTGGTGTCCTCTCGCTGATCGTCTGTGGACCATAGAAGTTTGGGATAGACAGAAGTGTTTAGTGGGGGGGACATAAGTGTTTAGTGGGGGACACAAGTGTTTAGTGGGGGGGACATAAGTGTTTAGTGGGGGACTGAAGTTTTTAGTGGGGGACTGAAGTGTTTAGTGGGGGACTGAAGTGTTTAGTGGGGGACAGAAGTGTTTAGTGGGGGACTGAAGTGTTTAGTGGGGGACTGAAGTGTTTAGTGGGGGACTGAAGTGTTTAGTGGGGGACTGAAGTGTTTAGTGGGGGACTGAAGTGTTTAGTGGGGGACTGAAGTGTTTAGTGGGGGATAAAAGTATTTAGTGGGGGACAGAAGTGTTTAGTTGGGAACAAGTGTTTAGTGGGGGACAAAAGTGTTTAGTGGGGGGCAAAAGTGTTTAGTGGGGGACAGAAGTGTTTAGTGGGGTCACAAGTGTTTAGGGGGTGACACAAGTGTTTAGGGGTGACATAAGTGTTTAGGGTGTGACACAAGTGTTTAGTAGGGGACAAAAGTGTTTAGTGGGGACAAAAGTGTTTAGTGGGGACAAAAGTGTTTAGTGGGGAAACATCAGTGGCCATTTATTAGGTATAATTACAGGGTACACAGTAGGGGGCGGACAAATAGATGAACAGACAGACACCTTAGACAAGACAAGAGTAGCTTTTATGCTAACCAGTGGCCAGAGTTGTTAGCGCCACAGGGGGTGGGTAATTGTTATGGTCTCATTATCGAGTGGGAAATCAGTAGCGTAGCGAGGCGGGGGGGGGGGGCGGGGGGGACATATGTCCCCGGGCGCCGACCTTAGGGGGCGCCAAAATGGGTTGGAAAAATAAATTGAAAGGTTGAGGGGGGTGCAAATCGAAATCTCGAGGGGGAGGGTGCAAATCGAAAAGTTTGTCCCCGGGCGCCGGAAAGGGTCGCTACGCCTCTGGTGGGAATAGTGAGGGGATAGGACATAGGTATAAATATAGGCAGGTCTGAGATCCGCTCTCTTTCGACTTACAAGTGGTTAGGGTAAAGCCTCTCTCGGCAAAAGGGATGTTTATTTATAAACGACAGCAACTAAGAAAGTCTCATGACACGTTTGTATTATTATACTGTGACTGATGCTTAAATTTTAAGTTAATGTCACCTATAATGTGTTGACTCACATATACATGTGTATTCTAACATACAATATCAAACAAAGAATTTTTGTCGTGTCTGCTTAGGTGTTTGTTCCTGCTATTAGGTCAAAACAAAAACATTCCTTCTAATTGAACAATAGCTGAAGAAAAGTATATACAACATACACAGACTTATGGCTAATACATATACAGACATCGACCATGCGGAGACAGGTTGTGAAATCAGAGTCAAAGGCTTATATGGAGTATAACAAGTTGACACGTACTACTTAACTGTGTTGGACTGTTGTATTCTACCATTACCAATAAGAACAAAGACGAAAAAAAAGAGACGCCTACAAAAAGAAGAGGCGTCTACAAAAAGAAGAGACGTCTACAAAAAGAAGAGACGCCTACAAAAAAAAGAGACGCCTACAAAAAAAAGAGACGCCTACAAAAAGAAGAGGCGTCTACAAAAAGAAGAGACGCCTACAAAAAAAAGAGACGCCTACAAAAAGAAGAGACGCCTACAAAAAAAAGAGACGCCTACAAAAAGAAGAGACGCCTACAAAAAAAGAGACGCCTACAAAAAGAAGAGACGCCTACAAAAAGAAGAGACGCCTACAAAAAAAAGAGACGCCTACAAAAAGAAGAGACGCCTACAAAAAAAAGAGACGCCTACAAAAAAAAGAGACGCCTACAAAAAGAAGAGACGCCTACAAAAAGAAGAGACGCCTACAAAAAAAAGAGACGCCTACAAAAAAAAAGAGACGCCTACAGAAAGAAGAGACGCCTACAAAAAGAAGAGACGCCTACAAAAAAAAAGAGACGCCTACAAAAAAAAGAGACGCCTACAAAAAAAGAGACGCCTAATAAAAAAAGAGACGCCTACAAAAAGAAGAGTCGCCTACGAGTCAGAGAAACAGGTCAAATTCTCACACCTACCCTCAGAGATTGACCAACTCTCCATCGCTCAAACGTCCGGTTCCTCTCACATATGGCCTTGGCCTTGTCGAAGCTCTGACTCACGTGCTCGAAGTGCCTCTCCTCCCTAGCGTTGACCTCCCTCGTCTTCAGCCTCTCCTTGACGGCCAGCTCGATGGCCATGCTGCTGAAGTAGGCGTCGTGGTACAGATGGCCCATATCCATGATGGCCCTTCAACAGTTGGCAGTGTTTTCACACAAACATTAATTCCTTGAAAGAAATGTAAGATGAATCACATTCATGATATCCTTACAAAATTTGGAAGCGTTTCTCATTCCAAATCAGTTCATTATAATATGATCCATATTCAAGCTAGATGGCCATAAAACGACTGACCAAGCTCCTCACACACAAAAATCAATCCCTTCTAAGATATTAAATTCCGATTAAAAACTTTTCACATATACTAACACAAAACAGTTCTTTTTAGGGATTAAATATCATGTCACGAGTCTGTAATAATTTCACTAGTTCTATAACAACGTTTATTTCCGAACCAGAAAACCTCCCTCTGTGTATATCTTGAAAGACTACTTGCACTGTAAGATCAGGCCAGCAAATTGACGGCAATAAAATTAAAGGGCTGTCGTTTAGAGATCCGTTTCAAGACGTTGACAGCTGAGACGTCCATTGTCCCAGGATCCTCTGTCACTGTATGCTGGAGACATTCATCGCATGTTGGACAGGTAACACTTGACATACAGTTCCTGTACAATCGGGGGGGGGGGGGATAAAGATAGTCAATACGTGAATCACATCTTGGTAAAATTGGATTAGCCGTACCACTTTATAGCTCTTAGTGTCTAACTAAGATAGTCTGGCACTAAATATTTTTCTAAATAAAAAAAATGAGTTTATGATTAATGAAAACAATGATCTTGTAAAAACGTTTATAATAACAAGCTTTTATATATGACTAAATATTTTACGACACTGCAACTTATATAACTCTAAAGAGAAGTGTAGGTTGATGTTATAAGTTTTGAAACTGGTAGGCACATCTGTAAATATAAACAGGCCTACAAACGATTGTGTATTAATATACGCCAGGTACGGAGTTATATAGTCCATAAATACACCATAACTTATACTACTACTAAAAGTCGATAGCATTAATTAATTTAATATGTGTTAGCAACTGAAAACCCTTACTAAAATGTAATGGGGAGACCTACGTTTTTGAATAAAAGAAATAGTGGTCGAGAAACAAAGTTGGATAACAGCCTATTCTACCCCTCCCCTTCCCCGTACAACCACTCCCCCCCCCCCCCCCACCACACACACACACACTACTGGATAAGCAACACAACCCAATAAGATGTTATCTAAAATAGCCAAAACGAATCGTCTACTCACCGAAACACACCGTATGATACAAGTGAGCCGGGTAGAACATGACGAAACACCACGAAATAAACTCTCCCATCAACAAATACAAAAGAAATAGTTTACACTGACTAAAATACACATTTATCGTTTAAAGCCACTAGATCTACACAGCAAAGTGTTTAACATCTATTATAAGGGGAATTTCCTCCACCAACGGCACATAAACTTCACAACTGAGTGTCTGTCAACTAATTTAACCCCGTCAGTACAAAGTAATCAATGAGGGGAAAATACAAACAATTTATTGATTTTATTAGCAACACTCCAAGCGCTGATATCGGTACTTGAAAAGAGAAAATTGGGTGTGGGGTAGCGGTGGGGGGGGGGGGGAGGGGGAGATTGGCGAATCAAAACTGCTCCGTGTTTTAAACCTTAAAAATAAATTGGTTTAAGAGACAAGAAAAAAATAGTGAAGAAGAATGTCTAAGTAACTTTAAAACGGTGTCCATGCTGCAAAGATGTGTGACGACAGCTATGAACGATTTGGGTTTAGCGTGGTTCAATAAGCTGTGGTGAATAAACTTAGTTTGTGGAACTTTGGCATGGAAGAGAACTGAATACATTTGGGGAAAGAAGGGCCAGGATTTTAAGAGGAACTGTGAGAGAACAATACATTTAATTAGAAGAATTACACCTTTCTTGACTTGAGAGTGGTATTTGAGCGGTACTGATATATATGATCTGATTACATGCGCGGATTGAGTATTCTAGCAACACGACATTGTGTCGTTGAGATATGTTGGACACAACATGTTTATCATTGTTGTAGAGATAGGTTGTAAACAAGTTCTGGTCGCGTTCTTTTACTGCTCATTGGTGTATGACGGTAGATCAGGTGAACATAATGACCTTAGGTATTGTGATATTAGTGTCTCTCACTCTAGTGGCGTCACCAGGTGGGGTGTCACTCGGTGTGGTTACTCAAGGTGTCACCCCAATCACTCCAACAATTATGCGTTTTTTGTTTGGTGCCACCCCCACTCACTCTAATCTTTTATTGTAAAAGGATAAAACATCGTTTGGAATGTGAATTTTATAAAATAAATTTAGATTTGGTGTCACCCCCACTCCCCCCCCCCCCGATTGGTGTCACCTGGTGTGGGCCGCACACCCCCGCTACAGCCTTGTGACACTACTGTCCTACTAGACGTGACTTGTGTGTGTGGGTGGGTGCGTGTGTGAGTGCGTGTGTATGTTGGAGTGTGTGTCTGTGCGTGTGCGTGCATGTGTCTGTCTGTGTGTGTCTGTGAGTGTCTGTGTGTGTCTGTGTCTGTGTGTCGGTGTATATTTGTGTCTGTGTCTGTATGTGTGTGTGTGTGACGGCGCTAACCTATAAAGTAAAACTGCTCTCAAGTATGATGGTTGTATTGTATTTCAATATCCTGTATATTTGTGTCTGTGTCTGTGTGTGTGTGACGGGGCTAACCTTTAAAGTAAAACTGCTCTCAAGTATGATGGTTGTATTGTATTTCAACATCCTGCATATTTGCTTGATGTTGTGTTGTCTCATATGACCGACAGTCTCACAATTACCCAATGGCCAGGTTGCTAACGGCGATTACGTCAATACACACACACGCATTCTGTGGGTTCCCTCCCTCCCACCAGCCCCACCCCCCCACCCCCCACCCCTGGTGATTTTCTTATCGTGTCAGCCATCTATCAAGCCCGTGGACAACATGTCGTTTTGGCTAATTGAAACTTCTGACAACAAATTATACCTGGCAACTGATTCCTTGTTTGGCCGCACAAACGATGCTTGAGATAACTCTGGCAGCTCCTGGCAACATGCCCTCCCCTTACATTTTATTCCTTTACTCTACTCCACCTACGTAAATTTTGTCGTCACAACACCCCAACACATTCCACTCTTAACATAAGCCTAAACAATTCACAATTTCCAATCACAACATAAACATCTGATTAATACATTTAATCTACTTCATTTAATTGCGGTGTATCAATGACTTCATTCACTTAATATTGATTTTTTTGTCCTACTGGTTCGTCGCATTTGAATATACGATCGTATTTTTTAAGAAGACTTAATGGCTGTGTGTATTGTCGTGTAAGTCCCTGTTATTTAGGGACGCGGCTACTCCCATATGTTCACTGATGCGGGGCATTCTAAAAATACATTTGTACAACAAGGGTGAGGGGTGGGGAGGGGTGGGTGGTTTGGTAAAGAGAATACGGGTTTGACGTCGATGTGTAGTGAAGCAAAAACAACTAATTAATTGTCACTAAAACATATTCACGTTAATTTGACGTTTATGTTTAGTAAAGAATCACACGAAAGTCTAAAATTTGAATCTTGGACTAGAGACTGGGCTGTAGGATGTCCCTGAGTCCACCCAGCTCCATGGATACCTGACCGACGTTAGGGAGAGTTAAGGTGGCTGGACGTGTTGCTGACCACATCATCACTTCATCTGACGTGGTCAAGAAACATGGACTTGTCTTCATCTGCCATGTTAATTGTCCGAATGAGGTGTTTATCAAGACTCTATAATAATCATAATGTGAGTGTCGTTCCGTTTACAACATTATTCTAAAGGAGTAAGAAATACAATAGCACATTAATAGATTTACTGTAGAACTTGTCGATCGTGTTTGCAATGCCAGTGTTCGCATGCAGAAGCAAGTATAGATTATTTGTTTGCATCTCGCCGTACAATAAAGCTATGGGCAGAGATAGTTAGAATTGTGGTGTCATACTCTAACTACGACGTACAATAGAGCTAATGACAAGATGGTTAGAATTGTCGTATGACACTTCCACTACGGCGTACAATGAGCCAACGAAATCCGAGACAACCAACGAAATTCGAGACAAATGTATATGTTGAAAATAAATTAACAACTAAAAACGGTGTTTAGCTGCACTAAGCACCTACCTTGACTGACGGAGACCTCGGTTGAGAGGTCAGTTATACAAGCGCCAACGAACATAAACATTCGTTTCAAAACTGCTCCATGTTTTTACACTTTCATGCCAAACTATAAAAATCGCAATGAATTAGGCAAGTAATTTTCTAAATTTTACACAACCGTTTACGCAAATAACACTTAAGAATCGTATTCAACTCTCAACTTTTTACCCCATTCAACAGCCGAAGTATCTAAGCACAAAGATAAGGTGTGTTATAGGCTTATAGTGACTGTCTAGAGACAACCACAATCGTCAACACTGAGACACTTGCCAGGTGGCAGCATGGAATTATACGTCTATCTAGGCTACTGTATACATTGATTACTCAATACGGTTAGTCCACTTACCCGGATCTAAGAAGAGAAAATAAAACTCACCGCGATACAAAAGAATACCGATGTCTTGATTTTGATTTATGAGAAGACGGTAGTCCCTCGGCATGTTTGTACTGCCTTTTGTAGTGACAACTCATGAAAAGAATGTTCCAGAAGTACAGATAAGGCAGGAGTTTTATGGCCTTGGGGCACGGGGCGAGTTAGGGGAAACAGCTTTATTGTGAAAATGTTTTTGGAGAGATTTCAAGAAATCTCATGATCAATAAACACCCGGTAAATATGTAATACGATCTGCTAGATAAACTTTAACTCCATATTATATGCAATCTGATATAATGTAAAAAACATATGGTATACGCATAAAAATGAACATAACAAAATTACAACTTAAAAATAAAAAACGTGTACAAATACCTTGGTTCGGCTAATGTTATCATAAGATGTGAAGCCGACTCTCTGAAATCGTGCATTACAGTTTAACCAAACGCCCCCAATGTTATATCGGATGGTTACATTTCAACGCCCAGCAAATCAATCGCTAATATTTCGCTTACCTTTTTAAAAATTCATGAGATCACCTGATTAGTAACATTTAAATTAAACAAGATCAACGTGTGAATAATTGCTCATTTAACCTCACCCATTTGCTCGGTTGGCTAGTGTCACGTAGGATACCCAAAAATATTTCACATTCCACAATCTTTCATTGCATTATATTCCTACTTCAAGCCCTAAACGACAGTATTGTTAGAGTTCGGGCCATACTATGTATCTAGGTTAAGCTGGCCAACTGAAGGATTAGATTTAGTTTCATGGTAGTATGGTCAGCGGTGGTTAACTGGTGACCTCGGGTAGATTTTCAGGGTGCTTTAGGAATATGGGGAAGTTAAAGTGTAAGTGTTTGTACGGGGGTCGACGACCTTTTTTGAGCCTAGTGAGGTTTGTAAGACTAATGATGCTAGTAAATACTGAAGGAGTCGCTTAGAAAGTAATAATTTAGGCCTGTTGTCCTTGAATGTATAGACTTCTTTACAGAAAATATTAGATGATAGATTTTATCAAGGTTTTCTTATAAAAGAAATGCTAGACCAAATAAAAGGAGCCACTAGTTATTACAAAGAGACGCATTAGGTATCTGGGCCACAGGTTATTGACCCCTTTCCTGCTACAAAAGCTTGTTCGACCCCTATACTGATAGTATTGCTTGAGGGACCCCTATGCTGGTACACTTGCTTGACTGACCCCTGTGCTGATATAACTGCTTTTCTGACCCCTCTGCTGATACCATAGCGTGTGGTTAAGTTCACAAATAACACAGTTTTAATTAATGGGATTTGAAGTTGTACTTACTGCAAAAACATGTTCATTACTAAATTAGCAGTTTAAAAATTTTCCTGTTGATTTTACCGGCTTATGTATGGCAAATATTAACACTATGGTTTTCTTTAGTTATTATATTTTATAAAATATTCAAATAATTGCAAAAATTGCAAAAATTCGCTCTGTTACCCACCAGCTAAGCGAAACTTCATTATTTCATTTATGTCAGCAAATATACAACGCTCATATTCCAAAAGAACATATTCAATCGTCGTTTGATCAAGCGAAACCGTTTTTTTTAAATGGTTTCCCTGTTCGGTTTCAAGTTGACAAAGTGTCGTTAGCTGAGCTGTTCGTGTCAAAGGCCTTCTGGTTCGTTCGTGGTATGTCAGCTGAGTAGCACTGGCTATTCATAGTATGTTGTTCGACGGTTGTACGGGCTATTCAGAGTTCGTTGTTTCGATAGAGTACGGGCTGTTCAGAGGTTGTCGTACGACAGTGTTTTTACAACGATAGATAGACTTAGAATCTCTATTTCAGTT